CATAACCAAGTACTTTTGTTGCCTAAATTTAAACTGGGGTTGGTGATCTTGAGAAACTAAGTGTACACTAGATAAAAAAATGATCCAACGTAAAAACCCAAACCAGGGTTGTCAACTCTTTTCCAATGAAAGCTAGCAGCATTAGCTCCAAAGTCGCTAAATCTAGCAAGAAAGCCGCTATGTCGGCAACACTGACAGCCCGTCCCTTCAGGCCTCCCTCCAAAGACCAACATTGTTATTGTTCAGACTCACATCTGTTAAGAAGGCAGCTTGTGGAAAGCTGCTGTGACGAGCAGTTAGACAGACGGGTAACCTGTCTAGAAGGGCTAATTACAGTCCTGTTACAGCCACAGATTCTGGATTCGTTTTCGTTTTGTCACAGCATTTCATTCATTGATTTTAAGGCTTAAAAATGTCCCCAAAACACGCTCAAACAAACAAAAAGCAGGGGGCCTAACATTGATCCTTGTGTGAAACCAAACAATTGTGGATCTAAAACCATCGGCAACCACAATCTGACCTCAACCAGCTGTACACTGAATCATCAACCCCTGAAAAGCAGCTTATTCAGCAGAACGCTGTCATCATTTGTATGCAAAGCATTAAACAGTTGTTTTTTATCAGCGTCGGGTCAAAACTGAATGACCTGGTTGTCGGCTTTCGAGTGAGATCTAAATGTCTTCCTGTTTATTTCAGTACATTTCCAAATATTCTTTTTCTCTGCATGTAAATAAATAAATCAGGAGTTTAAGTCAACAGCGTGTAACACTCGCTGTGCTTGTGAACGCAGCTCTACAGGATCAAACAGCAGCGTCGGCCTCCGATTCGATCCGCTGACAGTTGGGCTAAAACACAACAACAGTTTCTCTTTACAAGCGCCGGCGAGCGCCCCGGGACCACCGAGCACGTCTGAACGCAGCCCTGTGAGACTCAACGCGCAGCAAAGAAAAGAGTTCAGCTCCACCTACGACAAACAGCTTCAGTTAATCAGCTGACGAGACCTCGGGAGCGAGTCTGAGTCGAAGACCTCAAGTGAAAACACAAAGAAAGAGTGCGGATGAAAGAAGGAAGAAAAAAAGAGAGAACACACAAGGCGGGAAACAAAAAAGGAAACTTTTGGTGAGAAACTGAGTAGGTGAGAGATATGGTACAAAAACATGACATAAAGAAAAGAAAAGTGAACAACAGGTAAGAAAAAGAAAAGAGGAAAGGAGCTGATGAAGTATTGATGGAGGAGAAAGTGGGTCGATAAAACTGCGAAAAGAATAATCTCCAGAGGTTGTGAAGGATGTGAATAAAACATCAAGTGAATTAAATATAAATGAAATATAAATGATGTAAAGGTGGTAAAGAAAGTGAAGAAAAAACTAGAAAAGTGCTTTTTAAGGAGAAATTGCAGGACAAAGTTGTTGAGGTGTGAAACAAAGAGTTTCAGGAGGATGAAATGACACAACAACATGAAGAACAGATGTGTGGGAGGACTCCTAGAGACCAAGTTCTAGAACAATTATTTTTAGGCCTCACAAGAAGTGGGGTTTGAAAAGTAAAGGTCATCCTGAGGGGGGCAGTAAACCGTAGATCAGGGCAGGGTTTGGTGATTGTTTCTACCGTACGATAGGTAGGGCTTTACGTCACAGCACGTCAGTGAAATGTCATTTTTGCATCAAAACTATTCAAACTGGCAGCGATGCAAATTTGCAACAGTTTCAGTACTTTTTCAATAAAAGGTTGAAATAAATTTCACATGCAGAGGACCAACTACCAGGATCCTGTTGATCCAGAGCAGCGTCTGTAGTCTGTATAGTAAGCTATTCTATTAAGCTTCCTCTGGTAAACAGGTACAGTGTTTATGTCTCGGGGCTTTTATTGTGAAAGGTAAGAACAGAAGGAGTGGATCTGGTCTCTGCTGCCTTTTGTCAAGGTTTTAGGAGTAATAATGTTTGCCTTCTTGTACAATAAAGCGTATGTTTTGAGTTTTGTTCTACATAATCCTATAGGTATACTTATGATACAATGATATTCTATGAAAAGTTACTCCAATTTCCTCTCCTTACATGCATACAGTCTTTTCAAAATAAACTGTCTTCACAGGAAACTCAGTTATGTTTAGGCAACAGAACCACTTGGTTAGGTTTATGAAAATCGTTTTTTGGGCTAAAATAATTACGGAAATGAATCAACGTTGACTTCTCGTCTCACACGGGGATCGAACAGCGGTCTCCTGAGTGAAGAATCTGTTTGTTTGATGCTTTTATTCACCGTGGAATAGCTCAGAAATAGGTCGGTATATTACAATAACTTGTTTGCGTCAACATTTACAGCGTAAAACAGATTTTAAACTTTAAACTCCAACCTGTTGTTGCTCCTGTGTTCCTGCCCGTACAGGAAGTGCTCCTGGCTGATGGTGATGTAATGAGTGGTGAGCTGCTCTGATTGGTTCTTGCTGATGGTAACAACGGGGTAGCCCATTTGCAGAGTCCACCTGTCCATCATCTGCCCGATGTCGATGTCCCGCCCCTCTGAACGCATGGCCTGGAGAAAACCAACCAAAAGGTGATTCATCCATCACCAATAACCTGGTAACAGGCTAAGAAAGTCACTTAATGAGAGTAAACATGACTTTCGGACGAGTGTTACCCGAGACAGTTTGCTCCACAGGTCGTCTCTGTCTGCGTTGCTGTACATGTGACTCAGCAGGTAATCCTAAAAAACAAAAACAGAGAACAGATTAGAGTTGTGACATCATTTGGTAGTCTGTGGTTGTCAAAACCTACAGCTAAGTCGGCATTTACACAAAAATAGTTTTTATGCACCAAATACCTGATCTGAATAAGCTGTTGTAATTTCACTTTTTAATTTTAGTTGAATTTTTTACTTTATTTATTTACTTTACTCTTATTATATTTTGCACTGGTTTCAGTATTATATCTTTACACTTAATTGTTATTATATTGTGCAAATCTGTTTGTATTTATATTCTATTGTTTTTTGCTATTCTTTTATTGTAATCGTTGATCAAACTCTGGCAAAATCATTTCCTTCGGGGTAAATAAAGTTCTATTTTATCTTAAATGACAGAATCTACATTTTGAGGGAAACCAGAGTTGCCATAGAAAATGATAAAGCATTTTAAATCCGTCTTCTCTACAATGTCAATATATATTTATATCTGAACATAGCAGTCAAATGTTTATGTTTACTTTAGTTCTGCTTTGTTCTCCTTGTTTTTCGCTACTATGCGTCTATTTCTGTGGATGAACACAGAGTTTTCATGCGTCACTTCTGGTTGCAAAAAACCAAGATGGCGACGGCCAAAATGACGAAATTCAAGGCTTCAAATACGTTTCTGATCGTGATGCTAGTATTTCTACCCTGTTGTATTGCTACTTTTACGAGTAAAAGTAAAAAGTACTTACAACCCCGTCTGCAGTGCTTTGGAACCAAATGTTGACGTCTAAATATATTTGTTACGCAACACCTGCTTGTGTAAGTGACATGTCTCCACTTCCTCTGTGAATTTGTTGCTTTCAGGAGCCAACGTTGTGAGTGAACACTAAACAAGAAACATTTCAAAGCGTCTAAATGTGTTTACCATTTGAATATTGTGAATTTAAGCCTCCGTGACGTGACAGGCCAGCCGCGCTGAGTGAGTCTAAAGGGCTTTGGGCTCTGACTTCAAACTGGTACTTTTCTCGGCTAATGAACAAGGTGAAGCCTCAAACAGCCCCCAGAGAGAGTCTTAGTGGGGCAGCAGCTTCGTTTTCAACCTGTAAATCGTCAGTGACGGTCCTGTCTGGTTTCATCCCCGTCTAGAAAAGTCTGTGTCACCGCAGAAGATCGAGGTTATAAAAGCTTAGGGAGGGCTGGTGGAAGGGTATGGGTTTATGAAACGACTAGAAGATAACACGGAACAGCTACAGAGAAAGAGCTCTAATCTGGTTCTCAGGGACACACCAGATTCCTCACAGTCAGGTGTCTCGGTGCTTATGGAGGTTAATACGGCGAAAAGAGGCTCTTTATCGCGAGGTGACACACTCTCACCTTTAGCACAGATGACATGAGCAGAGATAAAACACACACACACACACACACACACACTAGTGTGACTCTGACTCCAATACAAACGCAGGTTTAGCTGCATGATGATGAAAGAGAAAGAGATGGGTCGGGATGAAGAGGATCATCAATGAAAGATAATCACTGAGACAATTGTTTAGCTGAGAATGTATTTTAAAGATTTTGGAGCTTTTTGTATTGCGGCTCAAGAAAGATTATTCGTTTACGTACAAGAATAATAAAGCAATGTGGATTATTTTATTAATTGTCTTTTTTCTCACGATGTAATGAAAAAGATGAGATAAGAGTGTCGATGAGGAACCGAACCGATAATCAGGACGAGGATCCTAACGATCCCTGGAGATGAGCGGGAGTGAGAATAATTTCATTAATAAATGAGTTATTCGTTTTTCTACACTTCTGAGGATGACATGAACCTCGACCTCCATTCTGCATCAACACATCTGGATTCATCAACAGAGTTCTTTGTGTTTGAGTCGGTTTCATTTTGGCGAAATTATTTTATCAGTATTATACTTTAAGAAAATTATAACTTGAATGAATCAGAATGAGACAGAATGAGTTGCAGTTTGGTTTCATAGACCTGTAAAACACACACACACACACACACACACACACACACACACACACACACACACACACACACACACACACACACACACACACACACACACACACACACACACACACAC